TCCTGCCCTGGAAGCTAATGGGCTGTACAAGGAGGGGGTGACCCAGGCAGGCGGCCCCGCAGGGGAGAGCTCCCCAGGGAGCGGCTGATGGAGCAGGGGGGCTGATAAAGGGGCTGGGAATCCTGCCCCCTGTCTCACTGGCATAATGCTTCCTAATCATGCGAGGACAGAAGCTGGATTAGAGCGATTTGCTGGTGGCGGATGATAAAATCCCTCCCTTTGCCTCTGCACTGCTGCGAAATCCACAGGAGCGTGCGTGAGGCCGGCTCGCCGCTCCCTCTCCCCCACCCCCAAACTGGATGGAGGGAATTAATGTGATTCAGGGATACTCCGGCAGCTTCATCCCCAGCCACAAAGACCAGAGACCTCGGGGGGGGGGGACCGACTCAAACTCGTTGGGAGCTGAATCAACCTGAGCCTCCCCACATCTGTGTCCTTTCCCGGCGCTTCCCCGGTTCCGCCTGGCCTGCCCCTGGCTCCCTGCAGAACCGCAGCAGGTTTCGGGAGCTGCTGACATCCAGCCGGCTGAAGCGAGCGCAATGCAACGGAAAGGCAGGGCTGCAGGGAGCGTTCCTGGCCCCCCATGCCACCCCTCGGCGCCGCAGCCAGATGTGGCGCACTCACAGTGTCCCCCTCCCCACCCACGGCTGCGGCTGGCTGCAGCTACGCTACTGTGCAGGGGCAGAAGGCAGCAGAGCCCCCCGCAGGGCAGCCTGCCCCCAAGGGCTGCTGGGAACTGTAGTCTACACTGGTCAGACCTTCACGAGTGAAGGGGCTTTGGGTCCTGGCACAAGGGGGCCCCGCTCAAGCCTTGACACCAACTGCACCAGGCTGAGAGGCTGAGCTGAGAGAGAAGGGAACTGTAGCCTACACTGGTCAGACCTTCACGAGTGAAGGGGCTTTGGGTCCTGGCACAAGGGGGCCCCGCTCAAGCCTTGACACCAACTGCACCAGGCTGAGAGGCTGAGCTGCGAGACAAATGGAACCGGCTTTATTAAGCTGGCTGCGCAGCTCCGCTCTGTTCTGGTTGGTCTCGCACTTGGAAGGCTGGGCTGGGCTCCTGCCACCAGCCCCAGGCAAGGCACTGGATTAGGGGAGCACGCTGCGGGCCAGCCCCAGGAGCCTGGCCTGGGTACTGGGAGCTGGCACTGGCTGGCTAAGGCTCGCCCGTTGGCTGGAGAACTCCTTGCGGCTACAGAGGCAGCAGGCCCGTCCCACTCACAGCTCGATGGCGCTGAGATAATCCTCGCTGTCCCAGGCCTGGAGGGCGCAGGGCGGGCCAGCGGGGCAGGGCAGCGCGTGGAGTCTCTGCCCCAGCGCCAGGTCGGCGGGAGCCAGCGCCTGGCCCTTGCACATGACGTAGAAGAAGTAGTGGAAGCCAGCGCCGTAGGTGGAGTGGCGCAGGGACCAGCCGTAGGCGGGCTGGGCATAGTGGCGCTTCCGGAAGTGTGGCTGGGCAAAGGTGATGGAAATGAAGCGGCCTCCTGGACGCAGGACTCGGCTGACCTGTGAGGAAAAGGTTAAAGGGGACACGGTCAAGGGCTTCCTCGGCCCTGTGCCAGGCTCCACTCCGCTGCCCTTCCCGGGCAGGAACGTCTCCACATCCAGGGCACCCTTCCCCTCCCGCCTGGACAACCCGGCAGCATGCAGAAAAGGGCTCGCCTCCATCTCGCCACAGATCTCAGGCTCTGTAGGGAGGACAGGAGCTGCCCCCTGGTTTCAGGGCATCTGCTGCTTACCCCCAGGGGTCAGGAAGGAATTTCTGCTACACCCAGGGTGCACAGGAAAGGGTGACACAGCCACCAGCTGAAAGGAAGGCAGGGGGGTGTTATGGGAATCTAGCAGATTCCAGCCTTCGTGCTCCTTGTAACATATGGAGATACATCTATCTTGTAGGGCTGGAAAGGACCTTGAAAGGTCATTGAATCCAGTCCCCTGCCCTCACGGCAGGACCAAGTACCATCCCCAACAGATTTGCCCCAGATCCCTACACAGCCCCCTTCAAGGATTGAACTCACAACCCTGGGTTTAACAGACCACTGCTCAAACCACTGAGCTATCCCTCCTTAGCTGCCTACTTCTGGCTATCAAGAGACTATGCTTGGCCCCCTCCTCCTATGCTTGGCCCCCTCCAGGGCCCCAGCTGCCTCTCCGCTCCCCCAGGGAAGGGTCGCAGCAGGGATGAGAGTTTTATCCAGCAGCCCAAAGGACGCGGCTGCAGCCTCCAAGGGGCTCTCAGTGCAACTGCAACCACAGGGAGGGGGCAGCCCCCTTTGTTTTTTCTCCAGCACTCACATGCACGCCCAGCAGCACCCCCCACCCCATGCTGCCTTTCCTCCCTCCACAAGGCAGCAGCACCCCCCCCCAATCCCCAAAGGCCTCCCCATGCTTGTGCAGCGAGCCCTGATCCCAGTTTCTAGGACAGAGCATTCCTGTGCGGCGCTAGAAGACACAGTGTCCAAGGGACGGGGTGTTTGAAGCAGAGAGGACTTGACCCTTTTAATCATCATTTTCTCCTCACTGGAACTAAGCTCCCGCTAATAGGATGGAAAAGAACATCAATTTTCTTGCTTGGCTTTATCCAATGTCAAAGGCATTTACGGCCCGCGCGGGCGTGCTCAGCATGCTAACGCCGGGGCTTGGTATGAGCAGCCCGCGCTGGCAGCCTCCCGGCGCTCTGCCGCACAGCCTGGCGGGGAGGGCGCGGAGCAGGGCTGGGAACTCCCCCGCACTCCGCTGCCTGGGCCCCTCGCAGGTGGGGACCGCCCACCCGCCC